TCTTAATTCCAGTAACAAAGATGAGCCATACAGCCACACCCACACGCTTAATCATAGTCAATAATCATGATTAAACCTGTGTGGTGAAACATATTAGAGGCATGTGCCTGTTTGGCAGTCTGTTTCATCAGTGTTATAGGAATGAACATCTATCAATAAAGATGCCAAATGGTGGTACCTGCATTTGTGCGGTAATTTACCTGTTCTTGCAAGTTCTTTCACCTGTACCTCGGTGGCTCTCATGTAGCTGGAACTCTGAACGGGAATGGAAGCGGTGATATTTTTTCTTTTATGCTGTTGTTATAAGACTGCATTAGCATGTATATATGGCTCTTGGAAGACTTCTAGTGCTATCTGTACACTATACGATATTGCCACCAGCCTTCCCTTGATTTATTCATTGATGTGCCAATTGTTGCAGATTGGGTCCTCCAACGAAAACAAGCAGGCACCCAAGGCCTTTATGTCTGCATGTGTATGAGTAGTGAGCACACTCAGTGGTGCATGAAGAAAAAGTTGGAAACATTCATATAAAATAAATCAACATAAAATATAAAATAAATAAACATTATCTATAAGCAGTGACTTGCAATCTTTATATGCACTAATAAAGAAAGTATTGAAGCAAGAGATAGCCAAGCCAGGTATTCTGGGAGTCCATTCTTAGGATGTGATTAGAACCATAGAAGGTTTCCTTCAACGCACAAACTAGCGCGTGTGTGCAAACATTTCCCTTCACCTATTAGGGTTAAAAACAGGTTTTAGTTGCACAACTTTTGCAAAATACGTGGAAGTCACGCTGCCACATATCTTGGAGCATATATATCTTAAAGGATGAATTGGGTGCAGGTTTGCCAGGTGGTAGCCCACCCTCCTTAAGGGCACAGGGGCATTGTGATGTGCTGGGCTTCTGGTGTGTCCCTGTGTCTTTTGTTATAAATATATTTATTACGTTTTTCACACAAAAGTCTACATTTCAGACATTATACATGACTAACTAGACAATTAACTTTAAGAAGATTGGGCTTCCTCCTAGCAAACCTGCACCCAATTCATCCTTTCCTATATATGCTCCAAGATGGAGGCTCTCATAGATTAGAGCCTTACACCTTGCAACCATCACACGACTTTCGTTGTGCAATGGTTGTAAGGTGATTAAAATTTCGTACGACCTGCCCATCTTGGACAGGCAGATCATACTTGCGATCATCGCAAGTCCTCCCCGCTGAGGGGAGGGCTTACAGATGATTGCAATGGTGAGCGGGCAGTGTGTGCCTGCGCACCTCGTCCCGTGTGGCTTTCGTCTTGCGATCGCGCTACCAACCCGCCGAAAATCATACGATTTTCGGCAGCTTTTCTAGCGTGCTCATAAGACGAAAGTCGTGCGACCTTACAGTATATGAGGTTGCACGCTGCCCATGCACCTTACGATTATCGTACGATCGCGGGATCACCCGCGATTATCTATGATAATCGCCAGGTGTATGGACAGCTTTAGGGCCACACTACACAGAGGGTCCTTGACGAGGCAGTGTGGCTTCCACATATTTTGCAAACGTTGTGCAAGTAAACCTCTGTTTTAAACTCTAAGAGTGTAATTGTTTTTTTGCAGGCTGGCTGGTGAGTGTGCTGGGAAATCTTTGCTCTTGTACGGTGTAAAGCCCTTCCATGTGCACCTTGTTTTAAAGCTAGTTATGAAATGATGAGTGTGTTTTGCCTATGTTTCACTTGTGTGTATGTGTATATATTCAAGAAGGTATTGGCATAATAAGTTAATAGTGTGTATTTGTCAACATGTGAATTAGCAATGTAGACTTGATTTTGACTTAATTTTCCTTTCTGTTGGTTTTCTTCGATTTATCAGCATGAGGAGAGGAGCTTTTAATCTACGTAAAGTTTATGCTGGAATGACTTCTCTAAATCAGACCAAGCAAATTCCATTATCTGATACTGGAGGTTTGTTTCAGCAGCACTATCAATTTTCCCATTTTATCACTGGGCAGCTGATGAACAGTATATCTGACACCTGGTTTCCACTGGCATTGTATGCTGTTTTCAATTATCTGCATAGCTTCTGCTTTTTGTCTTTTCATAAATGGAGTCTTTCTGTGTGAACTAGATTGTGTTAGGGGGAAATGCCACAACTCGTATATTGATACCCTAATGGGTTTTAAGCATAGATAAGCACAATCGTTATTTTGAACAAAAGCTAAGGTGGTATATCTAACAGATCTCTAGAACCAATTCATAACTCTTAATTCCACCCTTCACCTTTTCTTCCTGAGCAGTTTGGCACTCTGTTTCCTTAGCCAGTCAATGCTTACAGACTGTTTGATAATTCAGAGAGGTTTCACAGTTGTTACAATTAATATATTTAAAAAGCAATACAGGACATCTATGTACAGAACAGATGCTGAAAACGGTATATGTAGCTTATTCTCACATTGGTATTAATAACAACAGAAGCAATTATGCTTTGTGCCTTTTTTGTTTGAAACAAAATTGTCCAAATGTTCACAAATATACATGCTGTGTTTTGGAATTCCAGCTTAGTATGGCTGCTTGTACTCTGTTGTAATTACTTTATTATGGCAACCAACCAGCAATTGGTCAAAGATTTGTAAACAATACTGACTTCATTTTCCTAGCATGTTTTCTTCAACAATTTTTCACCATTACAAAATATTTTTCCGATTTCAATATTTTAATTTTGGTTTACAGAAGCATTTACAAGAGGATGTAACATTACCCCTTGCACGGGTCACTGTTAAGTATTTAAATTATGCATTAGAACACAATTAAAACTTAATGTTTGTTCTTACAGTATATGGAAACCTTAAAGTGACACTAAAATCAGGAGTTAAATCTTTAAGATGCATTCAGGTACCCTAACTAATAACAAAAATTTAGCTTATTTATCACTCAGCTGTAAATCCTCAAAACATCTCTGAATTTGTGCTGGCACTGTCCTTCCTTCTGTTTTCCATGTTCCCTGTGTGTGTTGTAAAGTAACCACTGCTCTAAGCTCTCTCCCGTGATGGACTACAATCTCATGTTTAGTTCACTAATTTGTATTGAGATTGTAGTCCATCATGGGAGCGAACTTCCAGAAAGAAGGACAGTGTCAGCCCAAATTCAGAAATGATTTGTATCTTATCTGTATATCACTCGGCTGTAGGTCACCATTTTAGTACATAATTAAGGTACTTGAATGCATTTTTAAGATTTAACTCCTGAGTTTAGTGTCACATTAAAATCAGGGGTGTCCCTAGATTTTTCACTGCATAAGCTGGGGGGAGTGCCAATGGTGCACATGGAGGGGATGGATGCAGATTGTGGGTGGAGTTGGATTCTGGTGGTTTGAGGGGGGTGGAGTGGCTAGCTCTGGCTCTGTCTGGTGTCCTGCCCAGTGATGTAACTGTTGTGGCGCAACAACATGATATGAGGGTAAGGCAGAAAAGAAGTAGGTTATGGTTGGGTTGTGGGGCTGGGTTTCGGATTTAGAGGTCATGGGAAGACTACCTGCCAACCGTGAATAATGGATTTTTGAGTATTTAAAGCAGTGGAAAATAAGCTGACGCTAGTTTACCGGATTACTTTGCTGAGTTCCAGGTAGAGAGGCTGTGTTGCATTAGTTGGCTTACTTTTGAGGGTTGGTTAGGTGGTGGGAGCCATATTATGGCAATGATGAGGACAGGGTCTCAAACTACGATCTCCAGATGATTCAGAAGGGGGTTATCTTTCTTAGTACGAAGGAGAACTACTTGTTGGGTTTGGGCTGTTCCGATAACTGTTACAGATATCTGGTATGCGTAATCCTTGGTCTCTTGTGATGGTCAATACAAAATATTTTTTGCCTGATTATACTTCCAAAGATTTAATTTTTTTCCTGCTTAATATTAATAAAGTGTATCTAAACCAACGAACAAAACTTTATTATATTGCAGCGTATTGGCTCTTACATGTGGTGGCTGACTTTTGTCCTTTATTTTATTTTCCTTTATTTTCACTTGGCCACCTTGTCAGTAACAAGCTTCCCATCCCAGGGTGACAATGCTCACTCACTTTACTTTATAAATGGAGCGACAGCATTGTCACCCAGGATGAGAAGTATTTTGGGACTACAAAACACCTCCCTTTGTTTCATCTCTGTAACAAGGGGAGGTATTTGTCTAGTCCAGATATCTTGGAGCAGTTAGCAGAGACCCCAGGAAGTTGTCACCAGTAGCTGGATCTACATGTATCTGTTTTTTTTTCATTAAACAAATATAACAAAAATCATTCAATTGTATGTTTAACAGTCCCAAAGGGAGCAAATGAGTGAATTTCATAAGTAGATTAGTGACCTTAATAAATAGAAAGAGTGCTAATTTTACAGTGACACTAATCAGAGTTCATTTGAGTGAAGTCAGTCAGTACATGGGTTCTGATAGGTTGCAGCCAATGAATATTAGCATTCTTTGTTGAATAAAGGCTAAAACACTTAGGCTGATATATTAAAAGAGCAGAGGCTGTTCACTCAGCAAAGTGTTTGCTCCCACTGCAAAGTGAATGTTAGTAAATAGGGTAAACCTCTATTCACTTTGAATACCCAACCATGTGCAGCAGCGGCTGGAGGAATGTTACATGTACTTTGTAGCAGTAGCTAGAATCTAGAACAGGGAAGTATGGCTTCTTGGATCTCCATGTTATACAAGACGTCAGTTCAAAGTCCACCACATTCCACTGCCCTCTTGAGATGGCTGTACGATGTCTGGAGCTTAGATTTCCTGACAGCACTGTGCAGTTGTTGTAGGATGGCTCACAGTTATTTGTGCTGGATGAAAATATTTCTGCATGGCCTTGTTGGCCACATTTAGCTAACAACAATGCACTCTGCTGTGTATGAAAATGCACAACACAACAGAAAGTAGTTTGATATTATCATTCAAAGGAAATGTCTATAAATTGGAATAGATTTGTAAAACTACTTATAAGCTAATTTATGTTTCCTCTTATAGGCTCCACGTGCAAAAGCTGTGCTGAGCCACAAAGGACGATCTCCCAGTGACTTGTCTTTCAATAAGGGAGATGTTATTATCCTACAAAAAAAGTTGGATGAGAATTGCTATCATGGAGAAGTAAATGGAGGGAGCGGAGTCATTCCTACAAGCTCAGTAAAAATTCTAAAGAAAATGGATCCACCTCTGGCACTTTGCAGAGCTCTCTATAACTTTGATCTGAAGGATAAAGAAAAGTCAAAGAACAAGGATTGCTTGAAATTTGCAAAGGTACTGTAGTAATGACTAATGCATGGGACCCTAGAGACCATGGCGAGGCAATTGGTTACATGTGACGCTTAATGTTCTGCTCTGTTATTATGACTATAAAATATTTGATCATACACAGCATAAATTTAATCATAGGCTGGCAGATTGCTGGTAACCAAGGATGCCTAACCTTGACCCTCCAGCTGTTAGGCTGGTCAAAGCTGATGTCGCTCGCATTCCAATGAAAGTCAGCATGGGAAAATAAAGAGTTACAAATTATGGGCACTGTACTGTAGAATACAGTACTGATCCTTTCCCTGGTCTATTTACCCAGAAGGTTCACGTTATGATTCATATGTTGGTCTGCTACATTAATATAGCTTATGCAGATGTCCAACTGTACTCCATTTCACACTTACAGTAATTAGAACATGAAAGAAACAGCAAAGCCATTTCAGACTGTATAGATTTCTCAGTGACTGATAAGCTTTGACGATGGAGTGCTGATGAAAACGAGCACTTTGCTCTTTTTTCCCACGCCTATGCTAATTAGTGATGTTCTGAATTGGCTGCGAGGAGTTGTACAATGATTTACAAGATTAGCTACCTAATACACAAATGATGAGCTCTATCTGTCTGAATCTTGTCCTGTCACTGCTCAACTCATGCAGTGTGTGCATAAAGTCTGCATTTTGATTAGCTTCAGTCTGTTAGCAGTATCTAGGTCAAAGACACATCATATAGAAATAATACTCTACATTTTCTATGTTTGGTTTAAATGTTTGACCTTGTTTTAATTGCCATAATAATGAGAATTGTATGATGTGGGTCTAACTGTCAATCAAGTTTTTACTGGGGCTTACCAGCAGTTAAAACACATGCATAACTCTTCAGTTAACTAGAACATGACCTAATGCAATGCATGTGTATCTGCAAGCAATTACATTGTATATAATGGCCAGCCACAGCACATGGTAGATTCTAAAGCTGGCCATACACCTATAGATTTTTCTGGAGATTTTCTATGGTCAGATAAAAAAAAGTGCAACAGATTCCTCCATCTACGCTAAACTGTGTGGATGGAGGAATCTCCCACTGGGCCAAGCTTTGGCATCTTGCTAGTCCGCCCGCTGGCTGACAAAATACCTGAACAATCTGATTGGATGCAGGCATTGTTTTGAGAGCCAGCAGGGCGACTAGCAAGATGCTGAAGCTTGGCCCAGTGGGAGATTCCTCTATCCACATAGCTTAGTGCTGATGGAGGAATCTGTTGCACTTTTTCCATCGGATCATAGAAAATCTGCAGATAATCTAAAGGTGTATGGCCAGCTTAAAGGAGAACTAAGTCTTTTCCCCATAGTTCTCCTTAGGGTAATGGGAGGACACAAACTAGCGTCCTCCCGTCACCCAAGGCTCAGTATACCGTGAGCTGTAGCTCGCGGTATACGGAGACGCCGCAGTATACCGCAAGCTGCTGCTCGCGGTATACTGAGACGCCGCAGCTGAAGCGGATCCCGACAATTGTGCCGGGATCCGCCCAGCTGCATGACTGACAGCTGGCTCTGCCTATCTAGAGGCAGAGCCAGCTGTACCCGCCCCCTCCCCCGTCCGTTCCTCCAGTCAGCGCTGGCGGATCGGAGCGGGGAGGGGGGAATCCAACCCCTCCCCTGCCATGGCAGAGAGCCGTGACAGAATCGAGAGGTGAGCGAACGCCGGTATGTGAACGCCGGTATCGCCTCCCGATCTACTGAGCCAACCTGTGACAGTCTCATTGTCACAGGTCGGCTAGGGCTATGAGGTGAGTGAAAAGCACTCATCTCATAGTTCTCCTTTAAGTAGAACCTTTTTTAGTTTTCTACCTTTTTAATTGAATTTATTGTATTGTATTGCTGTGATGAGTTGTCTGCAAGTCTTAAGTAAATAATCTGGCCTTTTATTTCTTTTTCATTCTTTACTTTTTTGGAATGTATATGTTCAAAATAAATATCACAGATTGTGATATTAATTTAATGTATATGTTCAGACAGTTTATTTCTCTCACTGTAGGATACAACTTTCTGTGTACATTGCATACAAATTTGTTTATTATGGAGAACACTTTGTAATGCAGTGTATAATAAAATGCATCAGCCTAAAGGCAAACATGAAAATGTTGTTTTGAGACTGACTCGGGGACCCATACTGTATTACTTTCATAATCAACCTGGCATTCATTATCTACTTCTGTCTGCCCTGCTAACTAAATTTTGTATAGTTGTCAGAATCGTTAATTGAATAAAAGCTGACAGGAATTCAGGTAAATAGGGTTGAGATGTCAGCAGGTCATGTTTTATCTGACCCAGGGGTTTCTAATGCACTCTGTGAGAAACTCAGTGTGCAGTGAAAACAGAGTTAGCAATTTCAGTACAGGACAGCAGTCTGTGCAAGACTGAAGTTCAGCTTTAAATGTAAGCAAATAGTTTACCTATTGCAACTAGTTTCCTCTTTGTACAGCAGCACTCAGACTGGTAGAAGGAGGGGCAGCACTATGAGCCAATTGGGTTTGCTGCATGCATATGATTTGCTAAGGAATATGCTGACAGGAGGAGGCAGCAGAGACATGAACTGCTGATCTTTAACTGTCCAGTCACAGGCTCTGAGCAGGGAGGTGACCTAGCATTATTGCTGAATTCAAGCAGAAAATACTCAGGCCACAAGCCTGACTGAACAGCCTGGCAGAGCTGTCTAAATCTAAGAAATGGATGGAGAAATATACATAGCCTTTGGCAGGTAAAGCAGCTCCCATAGATGTATTTCAACTGTATGTTCACAGTTCACATTTAAAGAGATGAAAAGTGTAACAGTGGAAAAGAACAGGTTTTTAAGGGTTTTTTTAAATATGAAAATTAAGGTTATGATTTAATGATTCAAAAGGAAGACCCTCCTTTAGAGATACTCTCAAATATGGAGTTGCTCTCTTAAAGTGGACCTTTACCCATATCTTTAAAATAACAACAAACACAACTTTAGAAATGTTTAGTAATTTAGACAATCTACAAACACATATTTCTAGATAATTGCAGGTTTTGTATTCTTTTCATACCTTATTTATTTTCTTTCCCAGTCTTCTGACAGTGGCCATGCTTATTAAGGACAGATTACTAGCTCTCCATTTACTTCCTTGATTTCTGGCACATGTGACTAGACATGTGACCATGCACATCCTCTCAGGGGAGGTAAATGCCTTTCACTGAGATGAGATTTTCCAGCAATGCTCGGCTGATGACAAGGCAATCCCAGTGTGCATTGCATTGGTAAACTGAAGTCATTTTGCCCTTTTAAAGCATGAAGTGAATGCTCTGCAAGTGAAAGTATTTCAAAATCACAGCATTTTACACCTGACATGTTTATGGTGTTATTAATCATCATACATAGAGGGATGCATTGGTAGAATTAGATTTTTGAGTGTAAAGTTTAAAACAAAAGGTGTTAACAGATATTAATTTCTAATCTATAAAACATTGAGCTTATTTCTCATTTAATTAGGACTTAGCATGACAAAAGTATATTTTAACACTTTAATGTACATTTTTCTCACAGTTTTTTAAAGAAAATGAAATGTCACTTTTTTCCCCGTCCTATGTTTGGGTGTTAAACGCTTGCAATAAACCACCAATGCTGACCAAACACAAATTTTCTTCCGGTGCTAGCTTTCAGTAAAGGAAGAAAAATAAATAATAATTTTCATGGGTCATGAGGATCTTATTTGTTTGAGTTATAAGTTCATTCTACCAGCAGAAGGGTTCCATACTGTTTGTACTTGAACTTTGTTTAACCCCAAGCAGTGTCCTTTAAACCATCAGTAGGAATATAGCAGAGACTATCGTAGTCTAGGTGATACTATTGCTCATAATGGTAATCGTAAAAATCGACGGGACCCTGAAGACTTTTAACAGCACAGTGGGTGACTGAACTTTGATGGAGCCAAAGCCAAACTATATGATCACTTTTAGGCAATCTAAATATGCCTATAAAATGAATTCCTTATTGAGTTTTCCCTGGAAATTGTTGTTGCCACAGTTGGATATATTACACATATTTATAAATATATATAGATGGTTTGTAATCCTTTGACAACTTCTTGTCTTTGTTACAGGATGATATAATTAGTGTGCTTCGGAGAGTTGATGACAACTGGGCGGAAGGCAGGTTGGGTGATCAAGTGGGCATTTTTCCCCTGCTCTTTGTAGAGGTAAAAAAAAAAGTGTCTTTGTATACTTTCTCACTATTTGATACAGTACAACAATGTTTTCATGTTCAACTTCTTGCAAAAGCACTGGTTATATGCACGTTGCAATCTAATTAAGAGTAACATGTTACTATCATATTTATCATTCACATTCCTATATACAAATATTATCAAACCAGCTGTAGTGTTGTCTTGGTAGTTTCCACTGTTCAGACTTATATTTAAATGTTGATAATCACATTTTTACAACATACATTTTCTGTAATGCATGTAAATGATCCTACCTTAATAGGTTGCCAGATCATACATGGTCTCTAATGTAGGACCATCAACCTCTTGCCGTCCGCCCCGTTAAGAAAAAACGGACGGACGGCAGACTCGCATCAGCGGGTTGCTATCGCCAGGCGGCATTTATTTCCTGCTCGCGCACGCCCCCTAGCGCGCGCGCAAGGGCAGGAAAGACCCACTCGTTACTACAGCCGTTAACGGCTGTTTCACATACAACCGATCAGCGGCTCTATAGCCACCGATCGGTTGTATGGCGTGAATTTCGGAGCGCCCATCCCCCTATGTAATAGCAATAACAATAAGCCTGGATGGGAAGGGGGTTTAACACCCCGGATGTCAACTGGTTAAGGAATCTTCAACAACATTGTCTTTGTAACCACATAAAGATGAGGGCACACACATCATTACTGTACACATAGATGGTTTTGGTGACCCCAATAACTTTAGTATCCATCCTGTAGAGTTGTACCAAACCTACAGTGCCTGTGTGTGGAGATAAAAAAAGATTATATGGTAATGCTTGTACATAGTACTTCAAAACCATGACAAGTGTGCCATCTCCCACAATACTCTTAACTTGTCTCCCCCCATTCCTCTCCAAAAGTAATAATAAGACCACACCGAGGGCTAGTGTTTAGTTGCCACAGCAGTCTTTCATTAAACAATGCCCCAAATTGCAAACACATTCTGAAAACACACTTTTATCTTTACCGATACAAAGGTCCCCCAACCACTACACACTAGTTTAGGGGCATTGGCACTATAACTGCCCCAGATAAAATCTTGACCCCCAACTTCAATGGTAAACAAAGGGTCACCATACCTAAGTTGCCTGTACTATCTCCCTTAAAAGGGACCTTTACTCCCTTGACTAAAAATCCCATTAGCATGCAGCTCTGCATGGTGATATGAAATCATCTTACATTTATTAGCTAAACAAAAATCTTTTTATTTTACTTACAATTTCTTGTTTTCTACTTCCTGGTCCACTTTGGCACAAATGATGTAATCGTGTCCAAGCATTGCATCCTGGGAAGGTTACATCAGCAGAGCATTGCTGGGAAATCTCATTTGAAATCTTATGAGATCTCAGGGAAATGCATTTTCCTCCCCTGAGATGATGCGCATGGTCACATGACCTAGTCACATGTGCCAGAGTTCCAGGAAGTAAAGGGAGATCTAGTAACCTGCCCTTTGGTAAAATGGCCACTGTCAGAAGACTGGGGAAGAATAGAAAAACAAGGTATGCAAAAAATATATCAAAAAGAATAAAAATTAAATTAAAAAAAAACTGCAGTTATCTAGAAGTATCTGTTTGTAGATTGTCATTACTAAACGTGTATTTGTTGTTAATTTAAAGATATGAGTAAAGTTCCTCTTTACTAGCCTTCAAGGACCTTAAGACCCCACCTGACTTGCGGTGATATAAATATGCAGATACAAATATTATTTAATACACTATGTCCCAGCCTAAAAAAAACAAACAAACAAAAAAACTAAAGGTAAGAGGGTGGAAATCCCCATTTAATGCTGTTCAAATCGTTTGAACACTAGGTGAAATTTCCTAGCCTCCTAACTAACGCTCTTCCCACACAGACCTCGAACTCTAATCAGGGTGAGCATCTACCTCCTCACACTACATTTATAAATGCCAATAAGGCTTTGTGACCTTGGCCTCTTCACACCCTGCCATGTAGGCCTTGCTCTTATGCATCTCTCTCCACATTCATGTTTGTCTTTCATAACTAAGTGGTCTATAAATTCCTATGTCCCTTGGGGATACTATAGTTTACTGCCACCTTACTTTCAATAGTATATTTATATTAATGGTTGTTTTGCAAAAAGAAAGACATTGCTTGTTCTACCCCATAAAGTGCTTGATAAGAGACTACCAAAAGGTTTTAGTGAATACATGGATGTCTACTAACATGATGCAGTACAGGGGCTTGTACATATGATTTAAGAGTATTTTTGTGTTATCCATTAAAAATTGTCTTAGGCTACAGGGCGACAAGAAATGGGTCTTGAAATAATATTTGGCTCACTTTTTCATTTGCAGCTGAATAGCACTGCCAGGCAACTTCTGGAATCAAATAAATGTAAGAGGAAAGATGCAAATAAGATGGCCCTCACCCCATCTCCACTAAAGAGGTCTCCTTCCAATGTTACATCTGAATCTGCAGCAATGCGCCAGGTGCCAGAGGGCAGGAGAAAAAGGCAGTTCCTGATCACAAGTGCCCTAAATACACTAAACAAGATTGTACATTCTCCATCAGGAAGGCACATTCCAGAAATCAGCATGCCCATACTCATCAGTTCAAGCAATACAGCAATGATTGAGAAGGCCAGATTCCTGTCCAATACACCTAACCAGGTAATGTGGCATTGTCTATTTACTAGCCTTTGGCGTCTTCACAATGGTGGATTCAATCAGCCATGATTGTGTTTCTAGTAGCAGGTTTTGTTACCACATGTTGCTTTTATTTTTAGACCAGCTTGTGTTGGTAAAAGTGAATATATTCAGAGGACAATAACTGAAAAGTGAAGTTGGAAAGGAATTTTAAAAATATCCCATTCTTTTTTTCCTATTCATCATTATAATCATACTCTGCTCAGCCTTGTGCAGGTCACTGGGCCAACATTAGCAGATCGGAGCATACTTCCTTTTTGTCAAAGGCTGAACCAAGCTTTTCTTGGGAAAGTTCAAGATGTTTCCACTGGCACATTATGGGCCTGCCCTGGAGCATTTTCCCGGTTGACACAGATATGTGGAATGTAGATTGGCTGCTGAACTAACACTAGTTGTTATAACACTTGTTGTTATGCACTGGCGCAAGGTCTTAAAATTCAATGTAAATCAGAAACCCCAGCAAATATAAATAGAAAATATGCTCTAGTTAATAATACATTTATTCTGGTACTACGTTCCAAACAAATTACATGAGATTTATTACACCAGTAGCAAACTATGCTGAGGATGCAGCTCTCAGGTGGGCTCCAGTACAAAACAAATAAAGGAGTTGTGATGTACGCACTTTCATCCTCAACCTGCACAGAGATCATCTAGCTCACGGGAAAATGATCTAAGCGCCAGCAGATTGAAAGTGAGCATCATTACTGGGGTCTGTTTGCTCTGTAATTAAGGTAGATACGCTGGAGTCCATCCATGTTCCTTAATTGTGCTTTATCGATTAAAAGTATCTTCAAGTATCTTCAAAGCCAACATGACAACAACGCATAACTTTAATCATAACTCACTGAAGTTAACCCCTTTTAGACACAAACAAAAGCTCCCATGACATGTTTTAATGGAAATACACACAATTCACAGTACCTAATTATAACAATTCTGACCCTTAAGAAATGCCTGTGACATTCACTGTCATTCCAGATAGGAATATAACAGAGTTTAATATATGGTAGCTTTCTTCAAAGAGGCAAGTATTCTTATTTAGAGAATCAGCTTACAATTTTTAATATGATTTTAATGCAAGAAAAGGAAAAATGGTGCAAGAAAATATTTACAGGAAAGGATATTACAAAAATAGACAATTAGCACCAGCAAAATAAACTGGATTCAAATGAAAGTACTCAACAAAGTTCTCCTGGGCTTGTTCCTGTGCAGAATCAACTTTGCTCAGTGTAAGTTCGATCTGACAGATCAAAGACCCTCTAGCTCTCGGAGACGATTCTCAGCATTCATGCATAGTTTTGATGGAAGATTGAGAGCTCACAAGCTGCAGATCCAAACATCTTTTCAGGACCCCCCGAGGAGGGCATTTACAGAAATAACATGAACAATCAAATGCAAATGTCACTTTTACAACCCTATTGATATTTCCAGAAGACCATGTTTGACAGTCTGACAACCAGCATACTATTGCACAGAACAAAATTGTGAATTGATAGGACATATTTCGTAGGACATTTTATGTGACCAATTAGTCTCCTGTATATTATAGCCTAGTCATGCCTAGTATTAAACTGCTTGAAGTTTTTGTATGCATTTGTACTAATGTAGCTTTATCAGATCAGATACTTTTAGTGCCTGGTTAGCCATTTAAGATGGGACTATATAATAGTCTCTGGTTTTTCAGTCCCTACTCAATGCTGTGGTTTCTCAGACACCATAGTCTAAGCAAGATTTATGATTCTGCTAGAGGTGTTGTTTATTCAACTCAGCTGGTTGTATTCTACTGTAGAGGTTGCTCAAACTTGTCTTTTAAAAGTTATTGTACCTTGATGAAACATAAACATCAGATCTAAGAGGTTGTTCACACCATGTCCCGACCAGATCTGGGTGTGTTTCTGCAAACACGGTGCAATGTGTTTTTGATGCATTTTTTATGCTTTTCTGTGAATTTGTAGCATTTGTTTTAGCTTAAAATAGGCTTTCAAGTGCGGTTCAGTGTGGTCCAGTGTGTTTGCATACATTTTTATGTGTTTACATGCATTTTGGTGGGTTCTAGACCAGAACAAATAGTGCATGCATTCTTTTTTCCCCACACCACAACGGACTGCACTGGTGTGAACAGAGCCCAGAAATTCCTATGTATACCATATGAATACATTGGAATGCATTTCAGGTGTAGACAAAAAAAATTCTGGTTTGGCTCTGGTCCAGACATGGTGTGAACAAGCCCTAAATCTAAATGTTTTATAGCAGATTTGCAAATTGTAAAGTTAATCATTATCACCACAGAAGTGTCAATAAGTTTATATTGCAGATTAAAAAATAAACCTGGTTACTGTTTTTCTCTTGGGGACTTTTCCCCTAATTTCCTGTCCTTGTGACATCTCTGGAGTGCATTCACCATATATCTCTTAGGAAAACCCACAGTGAACCTGGGAGTAATCTCCCTCTGCTTACAGATCGGATAATCTCCCCAAAGGATGTTCACACAGCAATTAAAAACTTCACTGAAGAACAAACTCTCCTCCACTAGAAACTCCAGAGAGGGGAGCTTACACAGAATTACAGCAGGCAGTTGCAAAACAGCAGGTTCTGAAGAATGTTGTTACTCTCTGACTTATACTGATATAGTATATCAAGGATATTTGAATCACAAGTGTGACTAAAAAGAAAGAAACAGTGAATATACAGTATAACAATAGCTATAGCAGCCCACACAGCTGCTATGGGACCTGGGGTAGAAGGGGTCCCATTAGGAGGGCTGCATAGGAAATCTAAATTGTGACATTTCCGATATAGAAGAGCTGAACTTAGGATTGTCTAGTCACAGATTGCCCTCTATACAATAGAAGTATTCTCTGATCTATCTTAACAGTGTAGATGTATTGCCCTCTGAACTTCTGCAGACTGAAAGCAATCCCATATGCCCATTGCAGCCACAAATCCCAGAGTTTCACATCTGTTAAAACCTTGTAGGTGGGCTGAGGTTTGTGGTTTTACAAAAAAGAAAAAGTTTAATGAAGCTAGAGTTTGAAGGAGATTGTATTAGGGTTGAAGAGTAAATGTGTGCAAGGGCATTATAATTTAAAATATAATTATGGTTTTTATTATTAGAGCTACTATAATGTTTACCCCTAGCACTGACTATGCTGACAGTTCTATATTCAGGATGCACCGAAATTAAATTTTTAGACAAACTAAAATTAAAAAATGTTGTCAGGCCAAAACCGAAAATTACTTTTTTTTCCAACCTTTTTAAAAATGTTTAAATTATTTTTTAATATTTTTTTATTATTATTATTTTTTTACTTTAGGTGCTTTGGGAAAATATCAGGGGTCTTTTAAAATAGAAAAAGAGATGGAGGACATGGAGTCCTAAATCTCTTTTTCTGTAGCCCCTGTTATGAATGAACAAGAAGCCTCTATACTGAGTGTTCCTGTCCATTAATTAGCTGTGAAGATAGTATCAGTTACTATTTCCACAATCATGAATGAACAGGAAGTGATGTAGAACACTTCCGGTTCATTCATAACTTGGGACACAGTAAACTTACTATGTCCTCAGTTATTTACAAACACTCAGCAATCAGTACTGATCGCGGAGTGTTTGTGCTCCACTCTCCATCCTGACTACTCCGCCTGTCACAAGAGGCTGAGCTCTCATCCTGCACTGCCCTGCTCGCCCTCCTGACGGCTGTCTCCTCCCCGCACCACCCCGCCTGGCCTCCGAGCAGCTTCTCTCCTCCCCGCTGGGCAACAGCAGCTGGATGTGTCCCCCTTCGATCCACACTGCCTCTGCCGACACAGGCAGGGGAGAGCAGCAGGGAACAGAGGGGACACAGACCAGCATCAAACATAGAGGAGAAAAGCTAGGTATGCACCGCATTTTCGGCCACTTTGGTACTATCTGCATTTTGCCCAGAGTACCATTTTCGGCCGAAATAAAAATGTCACAGGTCGGCTCAATAGATCGGGAATTGAGCGAACACATACAGTGGCTCGCTCACTTCTCGATCCTGCATTGTTGGTTTTCTGTTTTTATAAAAAAATTTAGCTTTTTAACATTTTTTATTTATTTTATTATCCTACTTTTTATCACTTTTTATTTTTAATTATTATTTATTTTTTATCAATTTCTTTATATTTTATTTTATTTTTTTCACTTAGCTCCTGTGTGATAAGCATGTGGAGGTTCTCTTTATTGAACCTGTCACCTCCAATACAGGAGTTTGAGCAGAACACAGTGCTGGCTCTCCTGTGACAGCTGAGATGGGAGAGCTGCGAGTGCAGCTCCCCCATCTCAGTGTTCACATGAAGCAGAGCGGAGAATGGGCGTTCTCCGCTCTGCTCCCCGCTCTCCATCCTGTACTATTTTGCCATGGTCCTGGGTCCTCCAGGAGAGCGGCATCGCCAAGATCACTTGTACAAAACGAGTGGTGGCTTGCCTGCTGTACATTTAGCCCTGCTTGCCCGAAGCAGTGCTAAATGTAGAAAAAAAAACGAACAACCGTGCGGCTGTCCCGCCCCTCTACTTCCTGCCGCCCCGAGGCCAGGCCTCGGTGGACTTGTGGGAAGTCTGGCCCTCATTACGGTTACTTGAGCCAATGCTGGGGGTTATTATTGCAGTCACTGGCACCAATGCTGGGGGTTATTATTGTGGTGACTGGCACCAAAGCTAGGGGTTATGAATGCTTCCACTGATACCAGCGCTGGGAGTTATTATTGTGGCCACTTAAAAAAATACAGCAGGACCAAATTTTTTAGGTGTTGAGGTGCATTACTACCCATTTGGGCTGCCTAAGTTGATGCAATGTTCTTTAACACATCAAAATGAGCTGCTATTGCACAGCCCTCTAGAAGTGTTGGGGGCTGCACATAAGGCCCTCTCTCATTTTAAGTTGACCACCACTGCTTTAAGATGTGGAGGGATTCCCTGAATCCTTTGAATAAATAGGAATATT